ATTTGATTTGGCTTTGTTAGAGCCACATATTGATTTTATTATTTGTGGGGGTGATAGGGCGAGGTGCACGATGATGGTGGTGGTTATGCATGAGAAGTTATTCCATACAATTTAAATGAGTCTGAATGAACGTGTTAAAAAAATGGAGCTTGAGCTAATTTTAAGGTAGCCGATCAGTAATCAGAAAAAGAAGAGAAAACATCAAGGGGAGTGGATTATGGTCAAATATTTTTGTAGAATGGAGACTTGTTTTGTCTTAATACGAAATAATTTAAAAACAATCTTGTTATGTACAAAGAGAATGAACTCGGATGCTTCTCCTTCATAATTCTTTTTCTTTATTCCATTGCCGAATAAAGGGTTAATTTTGATATCTTTTAAAAGAATTATATTCAGACATAATCTTTTCAGTGATGGAGGGATCCATCCGTAACAACTTTTCAAAAATAAAGGGTCACCATGTCATTTTACAAATGTCAGGTAGTCACCATGTTACTTTGACAAAACTAAAGGGTTGCGAGCATAATTTGTCCATGTATGGGTTTGAGAACCATTGACAAATGAATGGAACAAACAGTTAAAAAAGAGTCAAATTTAGCTGCTGCCAGACTTTTCTTAACCCATTTAGGGAACGAATTACAGGATTCAATTTTGTTTCATATCGAAAATCATTACAAACTAAAGATTAATTCTAACTTAGTTTAGTTTAAGTTTCAACTTATTAATAAAAAAATTCAAATTAATCATAAAATATTAGGATGTCTCTAAACCTTAGGATCTTCAATCATAACATTTCGCATTTTGTGTTCACCAAAAATCTCATCTTACCAAATTAAGCCGTAACACCATTTTTAGTTTATAAAAATTCTTCATACAATATTACAACATAACATTTTGTTTAGGGGTGTTCAAATTTTTGATTACTCACAAATTTTGATCATATCCTACCCTACCCGATTTTACTGATGAGCTAACGAAAGAATAGGTTGACCAACGAAAAATTTTTGGTATTCTGCAAAAAAAAAAGTTAAGAATGAGGGATACTTACAAAATTTTTGAGTTATTACCCTACTCTATGCGCATATATATATTTATATATATGTGTGTATATGTGTGTGTGTGTGTTCATCCCTAAAAATTAAAATATAAAAATCTAGAGAAATCCTAATATATTATTGATGTTTATTATTTTCTTATATATGATGTATTGATATTTATGATTTTCTTGTTGTATTTTATTATAATTGTTTATGTATTATCGAATTTATTGTATTTTTTTTAGTGTTATTGGTTTATTGTGTTAGTTAATTTGTACATATTACTTAATTAAATTGTTAAAATGATTCAAAAATTAATAATTAAAAAATATGTATTCACCTGATTGTCTACCCAACTTTCTACCCAATTGTTTTGGATGAAATTCAGGTACGAATAGTACACTTGATCGGATAGGATAAGTAAAAAAAAAATTATTCCTTAAAATATCAAATATGAAGATGAAATACCATAATTTTTACCTGTAGGATAGGGTAAACACCCAAAATTTTGTTCAAAGTCTTTTCGATTTTCACTATCACAAATTAATATGTCAATTCTTGGAACGATTTGTGAATTCGATAAGAAATTAGTCTGCTAGAGTTTACGCTTGACATATTTGGGATGTTAAACTTATGGAGAGCCATTAGACTCATTAAATAAATGGATTCACACGAACATGACTAAATACGATATAAATTTACTAAATATAATTTAAACACGATTAATACACGAATTTTGATATTACACAAAACCTTACTTTTTACAATGTCATAAATATGTTGGGTACGAATTAAATTAATTTTAATAAAGTACGACTTAAATCACAACACAAATGTAACACGGCACAGGACCCATCAACAGTCATGATAATGAACAGGACACGAGGGTGTTGGAGCAACAGGAACCTTACATAGGGAAACCGACTCTTTATGTGATGGTAGACATCGGATGACAACCAAACAGATTGAGAAAGGTCCATGCTTTGAGAGTCCAAGCAAAAGCCAAAAATGCCGCCTTCCTTAAGCAAACACCAACAAGCCCACGTTTTGCTGCACAGCTTGTGATATGCTTAAATTTTTTGTTCAGTCAAGCACGTTTTATAATTGAAGATCTGGAAAAAAGAAACCCTATAGTTTGAATGATTCATTCCCTATGAGAATTGACAAACTTAAATGTCATTTTCAAGAATTTTACTTGGACTTTTCTTCCTATGATTTTAACCTTTCTTGAGGTTATCTATCTATTCTTTTATCTCTGTTTAATGTTGAGGAAAATTATATTAGAAAAAAATCACACTTAGACCCCTTGAACTATTTCTTTCATTTCACATTATCTCCTAAATTATTTGTTTTGTTACTTTGCAACTTAAACTATTGGTATGAGTTTCTAAGATTCGACTACTCGAAAACAAGTAAGAATAATTTTTTTATGGTTCAAACATATCAATATGCGTAGATAATTCCTTATGTTCTAGTTCCAGTTCTTATGTTAATAGGGGTGAAACTTCTTCTTTTTCCCATGGTAAAAAAAAAAAAATTCATTGTATGTGGTCCTTTCATAGTGTTTTACTGTTAAATATTGTAAAAATGTAAATAATTTAGGGAACAAGGTGGAACGAGTGGTAAAATTTGAGGGTTATAAATATAATTTGTTCATTATTTTAACTACTCTTGAGTTCCGGTAAAATATCAAGAGAATTCTTTGTCTATGAAGAAATAACGTGGAAACCGTTATTTGTGTTTGATAGTCATTTTTTCCCGATTGGATTGGCGGAAAAGAATTATGGAGTAGAATACATGATTTGATTTTACATTTTTTACCGAATATCAAAATATCAGAAGCTAAACATTAGTAATTTGGGGATATAAATGAGTTGAGTTGAGCGGAGCCGAACCAAGCAAACATTAGTAACTTGCTTGAGCTTAGTTTGAAATTTAAACGAGATTAACATTAAATTAAAACTTGACTTGTTTACATTACGAATCAATCTCTTGAGTAAGTCTTTGTTTAGGGGGTGGAACCAGGACTTCTTTGTAGTGGGAGCAACTATAATTTTGAAATGAACAATGGGAGAACCATCATCAACAACCGCTGTGCCACATAATTAATGGTTAATAGGCTTGTAAATGGTATGATTTGGATTGATCCAAATCCAATTTGCAAACATGATCCGAATTCAATCTGACTATACAAAGATAATTTTTACAGTTTATTTTTGAATCTTTTTAAAAAATAAATGTTGATCTGATCTAGATACTTAACTAGGGTTGAATTTAAATAAAATACACTTTAATTTCAACGCAATATTATTAAATAATCACTCAATTTTAATTAGTGTATATGTGTGTGTGTGTGTGTGTGTGTGTGTGTCTACTCTAATATTTGTTATCTAACTTTTCAATGGGGGAAAATTCTAAATAATTTGTAAATTTAAAAAAAAAAATTCGTGAAACCCAAAAAAAATTAAAATTGGAGTGGGGTTGTAGCCCTTAGTGCCCCCACTTTAATCCGCCACTATTTTTGTTGATTCGATCTGGACATGAGTTTTAGAATCTTAATTTAATAAGATTTTTTACATCGAAGTAATCTAACAAAATATTGACGAATCTAAAAATGTGATCGAACTTGGCCATGTGTTACACGAGCTAAAAGAAAAGTATGTACTAAGTATAATACAATTTAATGGGTTTTTTAGGATGTTAAATAAGCTATGGATTCATTTCATAACCTCCTAAAGAACCCATTAAATTATATTATACTCAGTACGTACTTTTCTTTGGAATCGTTTGATTCAACATATATTAGTACAACAGCGGATGTTAATCAAAAAATATACAACAATAAACACTCATTTTTACGGTCTTTTTTATTTTTTTGTGTAAAATTTCATGCACCAAGTTATTAAATAATCTAGAAGGCCGCCCTTTCCTAGCTAGTTTAATCATGGCAACTTATAGTTGATGTCAAGAGAAATAAGGTTGGCTTTACTTTATTTAAGACCAAATGGTCACCTTGAAGGTAGAGATTCGAGTTTTGAAATTCTTACTGTAACTCAGTGGTTAATTGTTATGCTAACTTAAATATGTTCGTTTTTCAGATGAGTAACGGGGCGCGTTCAACAATTACATGATCCCACTAGTAAATACCTATTAAGGTGGTCTTTGAACGCTTTTCTTTATTCCTACCTTTTTTTTCACTAGAAAGGGAAAAAAAAAAAACCAAATGGTCATTCTTTTAAAAAAAAAAAAATTTAATTGTTCAACAGAATCATTTTTATGATTTCTTTGACAAAGATATATTTTAAGTGCTCAACAAAGCCATTATTGTCATTTCTCTCACTAAGATATATATGTGCTTAATAAGTATGGCCACCTTGGTGGACCCTACTTTTATCCCTGGGTGACTTGGATCAGTAAACTGGTCAATTAGCAGACTTAGTGTGTATCTTAAAATTTATAACTTTATCGTATTAAGGTTATCTTAAATGAGATTAAGTTATTACAGAAAAATAATAATACTCTTTGGGTGTAGCATCAATAGATTGACTTGTAATCCCATCTCTTATTTTTTTAGCAATTTGTATATGATACCAAAAAGACAAATTATTTATTTATTATTATTTTTTCTTAAGTACGGTAGTGAAAATTCTTGCTTTTAAATTGTATCAGCTTGAGAATTCAATAATGGCCTAATGGCTAACCAACCCGGCATTAGACTTAAAGGTCATGGATTTGAATCTCGTCCGCCTTCTCCCCCATGTAAACACTGTTCAAAAAAAATTTTCTATGAGTTTCAAATTATTTAAGAGTTATACTATGGAAAGTGAATGGAAACTCTGTGTGGTTGTCCACTTCCACACCAGCTACTTCTTTTGAAAAGTTGTTGATGAATTGCACAGTAGATCAACTGTAACCTTTGAACTTTGTACTGCTTTATAAGTCTTGTTTTGGCTGCTGTGGCCTCACTGATTTGGCTTCATAACTTTGAAAGCTCATTTGTATTTCTTAGGTACTTTGGGTCTCTCCTGATAGCAGCAGCCATGTCTTCTCTCACTAAGAGTGCAAGCAGTACTTCTAGTGATGAAGATGCTGAGCTTCGAAGAGGGCCATGGACTGTTGAAGAAGACACACTTCTCATTCATTACATTGCTTGTCATGGCGAAGGCCGCTGGAATTTGCTTGCAAAGCGTTCAGGTAATCTTAGTTCATGATCGATGCAAGTGATTAACGCGTAATTGCATGTATACAAGTTTGCAATGTAATCACGAGTCCAAAGACAAGTGGATGGAATGATACCCGTTAAAAACAAAATTCTTAATTTGCGATTGCCAAGCTATGATACTATTGTTGACATTCGTGTCTTTCTTGGTTAAGGATTGAAGAGAACTGGCAAGAGTTGTAGATTGAGATGGCTGAATTATCTGAAACCGGATGTTAAGCGTGGAAATCTCACTCCTCAGGAACAGCTAATGATTCTTGAGCTTCATTCCAAGTTGGGAAACAGGTGAACATTATTGGTTATCTGAGATGTCAAGTGCTTGGTAGGCCAACACCACGGTGAACCCGGTGGGTTACGCCATATTTGACAATTCACTGTTGGCATAACATTTTAAGGGAGAGAAATGGTTGTGATTCAAAACTTATCGTTAACAATACAAAAAACAAGACGCCTTTATTGACAACATGATTTGAGATGCTCAATAACAATATACATGTGCTTTGTCATTGTTGCCATGTAATATTCACTTCCCCTCCCCCCCCACCCACCTCATTTTTCACATTCATTATTGATACATTTGCCCAAATTATTGTACAATCCCAAATAATTCCACATTTTGAATATGTTGCTTGTTCCTATACATAATAAAGACATAGATTAATTATTGATTTACCATAGTGCTTGTCCTTGTATTTGGGTTGTAATTTTGATGATCATTTTGGTAATTCAAGGTGGTCCAAGATTGCACAACATCTACCAGGAAGAACAGATAACGAAATCAAAAACTACTGGAGAACTCGTGTTCAAAAACAAGCTCGGCATCTTAAGATTGATTCCAACAGCACTGCATTTCAAGAAGTGATTCGGTGCTTTTGGATGCCGCGGCTGATTCAAAAGATACAGGGATCATCTGCTTCTCTAGACATAACATTTCAAAACTCAGCTAATGCATCACCACCACCACCTGTTCCTGCACAAGGGCTGGTAAACAAAATCGAAACAACACACAGTTTGGGGTACCAGCAGATGAATACAAGCACAGAGAAATGCCCAAGCCCGAGCCTGTCGTCTTCAGAATCCATGAATATCTCACAAGCTCCTCAAGTTTCAAATTACTCATCAAATGCAGTTCATGCTATGGATAACAGTGACTATAACCCATTTCTAGGATGTAATTACAATGTCAACAACATTGGCTATGGCCTGGAAACATTCAGCCCAGCACCTTTTTCAGGGACTGGTGACTTCAAAGATCTAATTGGTGATTACCATACTGGAGAAAATAATTGGATTGTGGATGATTTGTGGAACATGGATGAATTATGGCAGTTTATGCAATTGCAGGAGAGGAAGACTTAACGATTTTCTTGGCCCAAAGGTTCACCTAGGGTCATTGTTGCTCAATGGACAACCCAGAACCAGTGTCTCAAGTCTGAGATGAAGATTACACTTTTTGAAGATTAAGCTTTTATCTGATCCTTCGTTTTGATTTTCTATCCACGGCTAAAGGAGCAATTGTTGATACATAGGCTACCTTTGGTGAAATTACAATCATATCTTTTTCCCCTTTTTGCATTGAAGTGCGCATGTATAAGTATTTTCCAGGATTTGTTTTAGTCACACTTACTGCAATGACATATGATATGTTGTGTATTTGAGTTCAAGCATCAATCTTTCTAAACGGGTAAAGTTCATCTAACACTTACTTCTCTTTCGTTATAAGCGAGAATTTTATGCATTAAATATGACATTTTACTCTTTTTTTGGGGTGTTAAGCTAAGCAGAAAATTCACCATTTTTGGTATGTGAAACCTACTTGCAGCTATGTTAGTTGAAAGCAATTTGTCTACTTCTTCCTTTCGAATTGTGGATGGTAGAGAAGTCCAGTTCAATAAGTGATGATTGCTCACTGAATAATATTCTAATCTAATTGGGTTGAGGAAATGTGGTCAACTTTTTGGAGGTGGAGGATAGTTCTCAGCTTTGATGTCTCTAATTTCTAAAGCCCATAGATTCCACATCTACCAACTAGTAGTTGACCAATCCTAGGAAGCAAGATCTTATGACCATAGTTATACCTCTTGATGGTTAATGCTACACTGACAAAAAAAGGGATTAAATGATGTCGTGCTGACATGATGAGTAAAATTTGTATTTTAACAAGTAATAATAAGATCACAAATAACCCCATACCAACGCCACATGAATATTTTATTTTATTTTGATCTAGTGTTCCCACTATAGGCACCCTTTTTCTTTTTTTTTTAGGGTAAGTTATAGACACCCTTTTAGTGGAAGAGAGACCCCACCTACTTTGAAAGCTTCGAAAATTGATACGAATTTTGTGATGAATGATGAATATAATATCATATTTCAAAGTAATAAAGCAAACTTTTACTCTTGAATACACCCATCTCACTTGACAAACTTGGTCACCAACTTATCTTGCATTGCCCTATATTCTTTTTTTTCTCATTTTTTCCCCGCCAAGCATTTTGCTTGTGAGCTTTTTGAAACCTTTATCCTTGCACATACTGGCAATAAGCTCATTGGCATATAAAAAGGGTAAAATACATTGGTGGTCTTCAAACTATAGGTTTTGTCTCACTTTAGTCTCTCTACTTCTAATTGTGTTCTTTTGGTTGTCTTTAAAGTTTTCATCAATTTTTTTTAAATGATCCAATTACTAAATTTAGTCCCAATAATTAACAGAAGTTCATAAGTGATAGTCATCATCAAAAAGTATATGATTCTTGTCCATTACTTATTTGGATGGATCATTTGAGAACAAAATAAAATTTTGAGGATCTAAGAGACATAGCTGAAAGTTGAGGGCCCAAATTAAAGCTGAGCACATACTTTACAGACAAACAATATGTCTTACCTCATGTTGAAAACTTCCATAGTTAGCTCGACGTGCATAAAACGATTGACCGTGAGAGACAAATCCAAGAATTTTAGCATGAAGAGGTGAATGTAGAAAATATAGGAGACGACCATTTTTATTTTTCAACAATTCTAAAAAGAAAAACCTAAATAAATGAATGATAAATTTGCAACTAATTCTTGACAGGACGTGAATCGACATGCCTATGACGGAAGTACACGAGGATAGGGATGGGCTCCATTGGGAGTACTTTATCCCCCATTGGCCGGGGCAATGATCTAGACCAAGGCAGCACCCATCAGATCAAACCTCCTCAAACTGATCCTTGAGACCAGTTACAAAACCCATGGGAATTTCGTGCCCCGGCCCAGGACAATAATGGTGGTTTGATGTGATGACCCACTAAAATCACCTGGAACGATTCATGACAGGTAATAAGGAATGATTATTTGTATTGGCATGTTCAGATGGGAATTCACATCGAATCCCCGTGACTGCTGTGTAAAGACATTGCCCTTTCTTATGTGGATTGGTCAAAAGGTGTCCTAGAATCAGTTAATGCTCGACGTTTAGCATCTAAATGTCTGCTAGGGCTCATTAAATGCTCGACCTCCTAAGCGAGGTAATCATTGCCACCATTTGACCCTAACATGCGCCCTTCGCTAGGCGTAGTAAATGTGCGACTCGAGGACAGGGGAAGCCACTGACATGCCATCTTCATGAGTGTTAGATTTGTTGGCTTGATGTGACTTTTTAGACTCTATGTCATCATCTCTCAAAGTATAAATGGTTAAATGGTTGGGCCTCAGATACACACACAAAACTCAATTTCTATTGACCTCTTACTGTAACACTCCGCATTTTATTTTATATATATGCATATAGATATATATTAAATAATTGTTGTAAAAATGGGGATAGGTGTAGCGATGTGTGTTTGAATTTGGTAGATTGAAAATGAAAAAATGGATGAAATAGTGAACAGTGCACGTGAACTGTGCACTGGTTGCAACTTCAAGCCCAATTTAGACATTGATGCAGTCAATATCTCTTAAAACTCAAAACATGAAAGTTGTAGAGTTCTTTCTTAGCTTTTCATAGCATCTTGAATCATCTCAATCGGAGCTCAGATGAGATAGTTATGGCCCGATAACGAAGTAATATCGAAGCAGCCCATGAACAGTAAAGTCGAAGCAGCCCATGAACAGTAAAAGAAAAAAAAATCGGGATTTCTGTGTTTAAAAACACAGATTTCAGCCTTTACTCTCATTTCTCTCATTCCACTCTCAACCCACTTCTCTTAGGACTCTAGAGGAAGAGAGAAGGATAAAACACAAGATCAAGAGGAGATCTATACTTCAAAGAATATCAAATCTTCATCTTCTTCACACTAAACCTAGGTTTTTAAGAACATTGAGGTAGGGTTTTCTTCCATCCTTGTCCATTGATGTTAGGGTTATTATACATGTAGAATTTGGCTCTTAATAGTATGTATTTGTTATGGGTTTCTTGTTCCTTGGTATGTTTACAAACATTCCCATGATTTGAACAAAATGATGGTTGGAAATCCATCAAACTCTAGTTTTTGGGGGAAATATGGATTTTTCTCTATATCTTCACATCATCTTGATTTCGAAAATTCTAGAACTTTGTGTTGGGTAGTAAAATGATTGTATTGATGATCTCATGCTTATTTCCTTTAAACTTGTCTCTTGTTACATGATTTGCGAAATGGGTATATTTTCTTAAATTGTTCTATTATGTATCTTGCTTGTGAAAATTTGGGGAAACATCATGGAATTTGCTTGTATATGAGGTTGAGTATATTGTTGGTATGTCACTCTTGTGTATGGTGTTGTGAGGGACTTGGATTACCTTCAAAAACTGCCGTAGAGCGTTAGAGGTTAGTTTATCCCAATGGGGGGGGTGAGATGGCTACCTAATGCTCGTAGTGGATCACTGTGGTGCAGTGACCACTATTGTTCACGGATACTGGGAAAAAGGGTTAATATACTAGACACCTTGGGAGGATCTCGTCAAGGCCGTATGAGACGGTACACGCCCTTCCTAAATTGGTCTGTAATTATTAGTGGAAATGGGTGAACGAGGTAGAATCGTCGGGTTGATTCATGAGAAACGACAACCTATTTGAGTGGTACCAACTAGAAATTTTTGTTCATTGTACCAAATATTATTTCTCCAAGAGTTTCGGGTAGTATGGGATGCCGCGATACCTTGTGGAAATGGTGTATGGTGGAGTGGATTATGTTGGAAATTGTTTGTCAATTAAACGTGGTTTTATTCTCGTTCAAGTCCTTATTATTGTACAAACTTGAGATCTCCTTTAAAATGTCCTTACTTTACTTCAAAATTCATTTATATGTATGTGCGAAACGTGACCTACCTGTTTTACTTGATCTCAAAACCTTGAATGGGTTTGGAAGGATCCTCTTACAGAGCCTTGTGCTCACCCCCTACCTCCCCACCTTTCAGATTTTACCTTTGACGAGGAGCTGGGAGTCGAGGGGCCGACACATTTGGAGACTCCGATAGAAGGGAGCGTGGATCCCGAGGTGGATGCTTAGAGCGACCCCCCTTTCTTTTGTTATAGACTTGGATAATCTTTTGGGAGAATTGTATAGCCTAGTTTTTATTTTATAAATTTCGCTGTGTATTATAGTACTTTTGTGGGAATGTAAAGGCCATAACTTGGCCTATTCTTTTGGGATAACATGTAAATTGGATGGATTGATTTTATGGTAGTTAAATGGACCCGGTGTGGTCATTACAGTAGAATTGCACATGTTGTGTTTTGGGTAGAGCTTCCCGAACAGAGGAGACTCTGTCCAAATTTTGTTAAAATATGAATGGTGGATGAATGAAACTTTCGTCGTGATGGATTTACTTAATGCTCTCATGCGGTGAATGGTTTTTAGAATGTAATGTCACCCAAGGGGGTTTTTGGGGCGTTACACTTACATATCCAAAAAACCTTCCTAATCTCCTTCGTTGTTTCAAGAATCTCAGATCCAGTTCATCCAAGTGTCATTATCTCAACGATAGCACATAAATCACACTCTTCAATTTAGCACCCTTTGTGAGAAATCCAAACATAGTTCCCTTGTAGCTAACACCATGGTGAACACCCATTCACAAAGCCATATAGAGAATAACCCTTGCATACATCATAGGAAAACTAAACTCCTCATGTTTTTAGCTCCAAGTCTGTTAAGTAAACTAAAGGCACTTGTTATGACTCCTAGTGGTGCACACAATGCACAAACTAGAGCTTAGGTGGGCAAGTGGGAGGACTCCTCATTTGCTCGCTTATGGATCTTATCGAAGAATGACTAGGTGATCAACTAAACCAAATTGAGTGTAGCAATGTTAATGTTCTCAGCACGCTCAATGAGTTTGAGCATTTGGCTAGGACCTCTAAGGGCGCAAGCCACCTCAGCAAAGCAAAAGGCAGTCACAACACTAACAATCCATGCTCTAGAGGGTGAACATATGAAGACTTGTCTCAAGGTGACCTTCGTCACCACCTAATGAAAAAAGATGAGGGCCCTCATGCCTCCAAATGGAAGCGCCCCATGGGGGGCAATCCCAACGAAAAGGAGAAGAGAGTCAAGCCACTGGCTGATGGCGACCTTCGAAACTGACTACCTCATTATCCTGAAAGGGAGAACTCCGAGGAAGGGTCCACCCTCTCAATGAAAGATAGGG